CGCGGGGCATTAAAAAGCATTAAAAGTCATTAAATGGATTTTGCGAAAATTAAGGCCTTAAAAGGCATTAAAAAGCATTAAATTTGATTCTTACAGGCATTAAATTTTTTTATAGTTTTGAAGAGAATTTTATACAAATTTATTTGAATATAGCCTTCATAATTAATAATTTGTATTTTAAGCTTCCGGTTCGGTACGCATACAAACCGAACGATTGCTTGGACCATTTTTCCTGCCAGCAAAATTCGTGCTGACGCGGCCAACACAACGTTGCGCAACATCAAATGGCAAGCGTAATGAAAGCAGAACGAAACTGCGCTACTCGTTATGTGCTTCACGGATCGTTTATCAGTTCGGACCAGCAACATCTATGCAGCGCGAGCCGATCTCGATCAAGCAACACTGTTACTACACCGCGCTAAGAGATCCGGTAAAGAAAACATTTGAATTCGCCACTGAGGTAATAACATCGCTGCGAGATCTAGTGAGAAGCGTTCACATTTCTCCGTTATTAACCGTAGATCTCTATTAGATCAAACAGCGCTGTCATGGAAACCAGGAGAAACATTGTGCCGTGAATGAACTAGTACTTTACGTCCACAGACCAGCAACATTCACCATGGATTTAATATAGTAACACTAACTGGAACCAGTTTGGCTAGAATGGTGAAATGCTTTCAAGTACTTCACACATCTTTTTCCAGCACTTCAAAATTCAAATATTATATAAATAAATATATATTTAAATGTTATTTTTAACGTGATGACCAAAACATTATTTGTTCATCCTTCAAAGATGACCCCCATTTATAAACCTGAAAGTTTCAAGATCTAGGAAAACTCACACTTATTTAAAAATATTTTTTCTTTAAACAAATAGTAAATTTCTCTGGCATTTCTTTCTTTTTGCTGTATCGAAAATGTACCGAACTGTGACTTTAAAACCGAGGTACGTACCGAACCGTGATTTTTGTGTACCGTTACACCCCTAATATATATATATATATATATATATATATATATATATATCCGTGGTTAGTCATGGGTCGTGTATGGCATTATTTTTTTTTAAATGGCATTAAAAAGGCATTAAAAAGGCATTAAATTTCATTTGAAGATACCTGCAGAAACCCTGGTATGTATATATAGGTGCGTTTAAACAACAAATAACAAAATCTGAACCAGCGCTTCTACTCCTATATTGAGAGACCATGCAGCGCGTTTCAGTTTCAATGCCTTAATACATTGATTCACGACTTTTTAAAATGTCAAAGTGTTCAGCCCATTCTCACCCCCAAGGCGTCACTTAACTGACGCCTTGGGAAGCATTTGGACATGCTTCAATATCTGACGCTTTAGGCGCCCTTTAGCGTCAGTAAGATGATGCCCTAGGATCGCGTGTACCCTACCCCCACCCCACACCTAAACCTTACCGCGTCCTCTAACTGACGCTTTCCTTTAGCGTCAGTTAGATGACGCCGTAGGATCGCGTCATGTAAGTGACGCTAAAGGGCGCCTAAAACGTCAAATATTGAAGCATGGTCAAAGGTGACGCCTTGGGGTGAGAATGCGTTGAAGTGTTTTGAGGTGGTTTTGAACGAGCATCCAGATCCAAAAATAGCTGTTTTATAATTAGGTTTAATTACTGTAGTGCTTTGGATTTCCTTCCTAGCTTCAATGTAAATTCAACACTCTGACTCGAAACGTTAAGCAGACACTCGCTGATCCGTTAAACACGGTCAAGACAATAGACTGGAAAGAAAAGCCCAGACCACAGACAGCGCCCACAGTCAAAGATGTGATGGATCAGTGGTCCAGCGTCCGAATCGATACACCTCCCAGACTTTAAATAAGACCACCATCCACAGCACAATCCATATATTGACTGTTGTGAAACCTTTTTTTTTACCCTGGTGCAGTGGAGCGTTTCAGGGTGATGCTGGGGTGAAGCCCGCCGCTACATGGCGTAATTAATGCTGAGTGGGCCATTACCAAACTCATTGCTGATGTTATGTGTTATGAAATGGTCTAAGAGGAGCTGTACATCTCTGTCCTGGAACCAATCCTCTTAATCCATCTAAAAGAGGACAAAACAAGAGGATAGAAGCTGTAAAATGTGTTGGATCAACCTTTATCCCTCACTGTCTAGACTGGTGGCTCTCAAATAGTTTTGTATATAGTAAAAAATGTAATGAGTTCATGTTCTTGGCAGCCAATAATTCAGTACAAAACACTCTATGGTCATCAGTCATATTCTGCACACAAGTTTTAACGGATGCACAGCCTTTCACGTCACTTTACATTTGACATGTATTTTGCTTTTTCAAAGTTTGTTGCATTCTATTATTGTAAGTGTATCATTATTTTTGATAATTAGAGTGCAAATTTGAGTGACTATATTTATGGACCTCCAAATATGATCCTCCATCTCTCCATTAATTCATATATAAAGCGCCAACTTATATTGTTAAGAAGGTAAATGTGTCTAGAAAATTATTTAGATATTGAGTTTAATTTGTATGAGTTTATGGAACTATACTGTAAGAGATGTATTTATTTGTATTAATCGGTTTATTTACTTTTTATTTTATTATTTTATTTTTAATAATATTTATTTATAATTTTTTTAATTAATTTTTTTAATCATTTTAATTTACTGTTTAGTTTTATTTTTTTATAATATTTATTTATATATTTTTATAATTAATTTATTTTAATCGGTTTATTTACTGTTTAGTTTTATTTTTAATAATATTTATTTATAGTATGTTTTATAATATATTTATTTTAATCGGTTTTATTTACTGTTTATTTTATTTTTAATAATAATATTTATTTATAATTTGTTTTATAATTTATTTTTTAATAATTTTGATTTACTGTTTAGTTTTATTTTTGTATAATATTTATTTATATATTTTTATAATTAATTTATTTTAATCAGTTTATTTACTGTTACTTTTAATAATATTTATTTAAAGTTTGTTTTATAATATATTTATTTTAATCAGTTTATTTACTGTTTATTTTATTTATAATAATATTTATTTAATTTCTCTTATAATGTATTTTAAATCAGTTTTTTTACTTTTTATTTTTAATAATATTTATTTATAATTTATTTTATAATTTATTTATTTTAATCAGTTTATTTACTGTTTATTTTTAATAATACACTGTAAAAAAATATTGTTGGTTTAACTTAAAAAAGTAAGTAACCCGGTTGCCTAAATTTTAAGTTCATTGAACTGGAAAAAAGTGAGTTAATACAATGAAGGAGATTAATTTAATCATCAGAAACTCAAAATTATATGTTATCTGAACTAAATAAATTATTTAAGTTGATTTGACAAAAGAAAATATGTTGTGATAACAAATCTTGAAAATATTTTTTTTACAGTGCATTTATTTATAATTTCTTTTATAATTTAATTATTTTAATCAGTTTATTTGTTGTTTAATTTTTTTTATTTATTTGTTACACTGTTTTTCTCTAAACTTTCTCCCTGTTAGAAGACAGAAGACAGACAGAGGAAGATAAATAGACATAAATAAACAGATCAGATTGAACAGTAACTGTTGCTATCTAAACGGTCTCCCAGCAATAAACATGCAACGTCGCTGAGTCGCCGCTGAGTCATTTCTCTGCTTACTGCTCATTGTCACTGTTAACCTTCAACACAGTTTAACAAACATCCGGAAACAGGGGAAAAAAATAGACGCATCTATTCTCGTGCATCATTTCTGTTAAGCCAGGCTGTTCATCATGAAGTGATGATGAACTGTTTCTTTTTTTTTTTTTTTTTTTTTTTTACCAACATAGTGCAGTAGTGAGCAATCTTGTAAATCCATAATTCCAGCAGTGGCAAGAGTGATTTAAGTGTTTGATCTAAGTGTGTAAGTGAGCGTGTATGAGCGTGGGTATGTGTATGCGTGTGTACACAAAGTAACCATTTATTATTTATTACCATTGTCCTTACCATCACTCCCCACTACCACCATACTGCCCATATTGTTTTTGTAGATTTTTATTTCCATCCCTCCTCCTATGTAACAATTGCCATTGTCAATCCTGTACAAAATATGATAATATAATAATATAATAATATAATATAATATAAGACCACCTTCCCCCATATATCATCAGTCCCTATCTTTTCCTATTTTTCTGTTTTTTTTTTTGTTTTTTGTTTTTTGTTTTTTTGTGTGTGTGTGTTATGTGCAATGTCTAAAGTGCATTAAAAGAGGGAGTACAGTGCGAGAATGCCTCAAATTGGGCCAGCTGATGAACTGTTTCTATAGGCTAGTGATTTGACAGCATTCAGAGACATGTTTGTTTACATTCATGTGTGAAAATGTGTGACCTAACATGCTGGTTTCAAGATTTCACTTAAATTGAACACCTGTAATATTTTGGAAAAAAAAGAAAAAAAAAAAATAAAGAAACAAATTGACTGCATTTTGTAATATTATGTAGAATATAATTTAAATAATATTTTTATTTACAATATTTATGAAAATATGTGTGGTGGCATAGTTTCAAGAGTAAACTTTAACATAATTTCTTTCAGAAGTTTCTTTGGAGAAATCACACCTAAGCCAAAATCCTGTGCCTTTTGGTATAAATACTAACCATAAGCTTTTTGTTTTTTGTTTGTTTGTTTGTTTGTTTTTGTTTTTTCCCCTGACACTTTGGACAAATTTAAAAGAGTAATTGTAAGCGTTTTTATTTGATGATGTGTTCACAATGTACACAATCTACTTTTACGTCTTATAAGACCTTTTTAGAAGATATTCTGATTTTAACAATAATCCCTAAATCCTTCATCCAAATATACTATTTATATTTTATAAAACTCCATTACCAAAGTCAGGTGGTCATCAATATGATAGAGCTCCCTCTTGTGGTTTTGTCTTGTGAACGTATTTAAAGCGCATGCGTAGTTTGAACCCGGTAAACACCAGTAGAGGGCGCAAGCGTGTTTTTTTTACATCCGGAAGCGTTAGGTTTATAAACAGAATTTCATGTGCGACTGTCACAAACTGACATTAATGACTTTTTTAATAAACTAAAGCTTAAAATGACTTTGAAAACGGAAATATAAAGATTTCTTGTCACTCGTACAAGGGAAGTCGTCTTTAGACGATTCTATCCTATTCCGAGGCTGCAAAATCAAGTCGAAGGTAATTTAGCAAGCAAGTTAAACATGATTATGTTGATAAGTTGACTTGTAATATCTCTGTATTTTTCTCCTACATATTAGCATTAAAAATGTTCGTACTGGTTTAATAGTTTAGTAATAGATAACAGCTTATGCCTTGATTGTTGCTTTATTCGTGTGTGTTTATTATGTATTAAATATGCTTTTGAAGATGCCAGCTCGAAACACTATCAACAATGGAGTCAGATACTCCAAACTAGCGAGTGATGATGACGGATACATTGATCTTCAGGTGAGAGAGAGGCTTTTAATGTCCTTAAATGCATATATCATTATTCACTTTAATATTACATATCTGTAGATAATTTATATACTACACACATGTCTATTTATTAATATGCATGCGTTTCTGTCTGTCTGTATATGGACAGTGCCAGTCAAAAGTTTGGAAACTTTACTATTTTTCGTGTTTTTAAAAGATAAAAAAAAATACAGAAGAAATGTAATATTGTGCAATATCATGGTTTTCTATTTAGATACATTTTTATTATTATTAAAAATTATCAAAACTGAATTTTCAGCATTATTACTCCGGTCTTCAGTGTCACATGATCCTTTGGAAATCATTCTAATATGATGATTATTATCAATGTTGGAAACAGTTGTGCTGCTTAATATTTTTTTGCTATCTGTGTTACTTTGTTCAGTATTTTTTTTATGAGTAAAAGGTTTAAAAAGAACAACATTTATTCAAAATATAAATATTTTCTATTAATTAAATTTTTTATTATCACTTCTTATAAATTTGAACACATCCTTGCTGAATAAAACTATTAATTTCTTTCAAAAAAAGAAATTCAAAATATTAGTGACCCCAAACTTTCGAATGGTAGTGTATATTGTTACAAAATTTTAAATAAATGCTGTTCTTTTTTTAAGTTCTTATCCATCAAAGAATCCTGAAAAAAAGAATCACAGGTTGTAACAAACATATTAACTGTATCCAACATTGATAATAAATCATCATTAAAATGATTTATGAAGATTCATTGAAGACTGTAGTAATGATGCTGAAAATTCAGCTTTGATCACAGGAAAAACATTTTTTTAATCTATATTAAAATAGAAAGCAGTAATTTTAAATTCAATTCATATTTCACAATATTTTTTTCAGTATTTTTTGTCAAATAAATGCAGCCCTGATGACCATAAAAGACTTCTTTCAAAAACATTAAAAAAATAGTAATGTTTCCAAGCTTTTGACTAATACTGTACGTCTTTTCATATATCTGTGCATGTATTTATCACATAATATTAAATGTATACATGAGTAATATTTATCACGCATAAATAATAATATTATCATCGTAATTATATCACATATATAATAATATAATATTATTTTAATAAATGATACATACTGTATATCACACAAATCAATGCAGAAATTCAGCTTTTCTTGCAATGTGACTGTTTTCTGAAAATTCTGCACGAGTGCATCGTAATATTGATCAATGTTCTTTGTTTTCTCAGTTTAAGAAGAGTCCACCTAAAGTCCCGTATAAAGCGATCGCCCTGGCAACCGTTCTGTTCCTCATCGGCTCCATACTGATCACCATCGGGTCCCTCCTGTTAGCAGGATACTTCGAAGTTACTGATGTGAGTGTACCACATTATTATGTACCACACTCTGTCTTTACAGATTGCTCCATTATTAGCTTCTCATTTAGATGGAAAAGTTCTTCTCGCATTTGTTAGTGTGCGTTAATTCATTTGATTTCATAGAGCTGTTGTGTTATGTTTCTTATTTTCACAAATAATCCCACTATAGCCTCAGGAGCATTTGCAGCGTGAACACATTTTCGTAAATCAACGTTTTTTTCTGCATTGTCACACTATGGCACTATGGAAGCAAAGGAAAAAGTCAGTCGTGTTTTCCAGGCATTTTATTTATATACTTTTAGTTTTCATTACTTTTCACTTTACTTGAAGCCCTCATATATAATGCATTATAAAAGTATTTTAATGTATCAATTATGCCTTGTAATGCACCGTAATAATGCATTTTATGATTTCATGAATAATTATGACAGTTATAATATATTATAATACTAATCATTGTTACACCTTTAGAATGTATGATTGATTAAGAGACATGACAAACAGCCATTTCAGGCATAAATATTAGAATCCATTTTAACAATGCTTGCAATTATTTATGAAAAGATATTAGATTAGAATGTACATTATGAATAGCTTGATAATGCATTATGCATAAAGACTTTAAGCTTTAGTCATTTTAGAACTTCATCTTTTAATGTGTATTTCAGAAGGCAACATTTCCTATTTTCGTTTATGGTTTTCATCTAATATAAATATATATTAGTCAATAGATGGTTTTCTGAGGACTTTAAAGTCTGTCATATACTGATCAATATATTGTGGAAAGCGTACAAATTAAAAATGTTTTTCAAATATATACATTTTTGGTTCAAGTGGCCTATTTCAGAGTGTTTTGTATTGTAATGCACTGATTTATTCATTTTATTGGGCACAATTATGACAAATATCTATATTTTAGCTTAATTTCAAATTAATTCAATTACTGAAAATTATACATTTTTTTGCTTCTTTATTTAAAAATGTGTTCAAAAGCTGTTGCAATTTTCTTGAATTGTTCTTACACAACAAATGATTTGAAAAGACATTATGAAATGTATTGGTCAAAATGTGAGACATGTCTTCCAGCTGAGTAGGTTAAACGGTGAGCATATATTGGGTCAGTTTGGCGCACACTGCTCTTCTTAGGTGTGTTGTGTGGAGTGGCAGACTGCTGAGATTACACAGCACCTGATGCGGAGGTTAATCCTCCAGATTTCCGTCCGTCTGTGGCCTGTCCTATTTCTTCAGTTAGTTTAGCTAATGCAGCTCGCTCACACTACAGCTTCATGTGAAAGACAAACATTTCATTCAGTCCGACAGGATTTGTTATTTTCCTACTACATTCACACTGCCGTAGAATGTGAAGCAATGGACTAAATGTGACCCGGATCTGTAATGTGACAACAAAAAATGTATATTGTATATGAACGTAATAAATTCGGATCTAAGTCACATATTTGGAAATAACTCCGTTGATCCATCCCTGACTTTATATCCATCCCATTTCAAATTATGATGAATTATTTTTTTTTATACATTTATTTATCAACTTTTTCAAAGCATTAACAGAAAGCATTAACATAAAGCAGATACAATCAAAGTTAAAGCTTTTCCCCCCACAATAACCCATTCTGCCAAAATAAATGTAACAATACATTACATACAAGTCAAGACAACAATATCAATAATAATAATCCGGAAAAAGAAATGAAATTCTGACATGTCCGTGGTCCGTGCATAAATACAAAACAAAACCCCAATTGATAATCACATCTAACATTGATCAATTATGATGAATTCTGACCTTTTGAAAGATCAGATTTTTGAAATGATGTTTTAGAACGGTTTGAACAGTCAGATTTCTTTTTTTCTTCCCATTTGTCTTACTTGTGCACTATAAAGTATCTATTAAAATGAATAAATCGATGCATTCAAATACAAAATACTCTGAAATGGGGCACATTTAAAAGATCACTTGAAAAAAAAAGTGTGTATAGAGAAATCCTTGAAAGTTTCTGAAAATAAACATGCATGGATAGTGGTCCCTGAAAGCGCTTGAATTTATTTTGTGCAAGAAAAAATTACAATAATATAATTATTATTAATATAATTTTTTACAATTACAATAATATAATTATTATTAATATAATAATAATTATTTATGTAAAAAAAAATTCCATATTATTCCCCCCAATCTGCATAAAATGCTGTTTTGCCATCACTTTATAGCCTATACATACTAGCTTGCTTGATTTATGTTACGCGCATTTATGTGTTACGTTTCCAGCGTGAGGAACTTTGTTTTGTACGTTTCCATGACTTTCGGACTTACACTTGAAATGTCCCCTTGAATTTAAGGGTGGAAAGTCCTTGAAAGGTCCTTTAATGACCAAGGTGTGGGAACCCTGTGGTTCATGAGTGTGTGTGAGAACCCTGTATAAATATATATAAATGTATATTTGAGCATAAAATGAGAATTTGTACCCAGTAGATGACAGACCACCTATTATTGAATATGAAATTTTAATAAATTCTGATCTGGCCCACTTTCATATTTGGGAATAACTGATTCGCCCCTAATTTTTACTGTTTTAGAGTGGTTGGATTAGTGTGATTTTCTGTGAAGAATCTATTAAAAAGAATAAACTGATGCATTCAAATGATCTGAAATAGGCCACATTCAGTTGAACAAAAACTAGTATTTGAGCAGAATGAGAATACAAAACTGCACTATAGATTGATCCACAGATGACAGGCTTTGAGGTCTTTTTGACGGTTATTAATGAGCTCTTGTTTGACCTGATGAACATTTCAACTCATCCTCCCTGTGTTTCTGTCACTCACAGCACCGGGACCGCACCATCCCTGTCCTGATTATTGGAATCCTGGTCTTTCTTCCTGGGTTTTACCACCTGCGCATCGCCTATTACGCCTCCAAGGGTTACCGCGGCTATTCCTACGATGACATCCCTGACTTTGACGACTGAGCGTCCGGGACGTCCTGTCAGCCTCGTCTTCCTGCCACTGATGTCCACCACGTCACAATGACTGACAGGCTCTTTTCTGTTTTTCATAGACTGAGAATGTGAAACTGATTTCATCATGGATTTTATGCCATTTTTCTGTAATGAAAACAGGTCACGGATCAGTTATCAGTGTACTGTAGTGAGTTACAGGTCTTTGGAACAAGTAAAGCCTGAGGAAAACCTACTCAAAACATGCTGTTTCATATCAAGACATTTTTCTTTTAAATAAGCATTTTTATCAGGCTCCTATGTTTTAAAGGGATAGTTCACTTTGAAATTATTTTTGGTATGTTTTATTTTACCTCAAGGGCATCCAAGATGTAGGTGTGTTTGTTTCTGCAGTAGTTTCAATTTTGATATTTTTAGGTCAAACCGTTCTTGTCGGTCAGTCATATAATGGAGGTCTATGGAGGTCTATGGTCACCACCTCAAAGAGCATGCACAGAGAAGTCCAAATTAAACATGATTTAATTATATATACAAGCAGTTCGTGTCTTTGGGCATCAATGTGTACTTACATTTACGTGTCATTAAATCATGTTTAATCTGGACTTCTCTGTGCATGCTCTTTGAGGTGGTGACCATAGACCTCCATTATATGACTGACAGACAAGAACGGTTTGACCTAAACATATCAAAATTGAAACTACTGCGGAAACAAAGAGACCTACATCTTGGATGCCCTTGAGGCAAGATAAAACAAACCAAAAATTAATTTCAAAGTGAACTAGACCTTTATGGTAATGAAAATATTGTTAGTAGATATTAAAATGCCTTGTTTTCAAAAATGTCTCAGAGTAAACTTTAAAAACATAAAAATGGTGATTTAAAAGAAAAATCATTCAAAGTCAGAAGCATTTTTTATTCCTCAGTGAAGTTTTTATATTTTACAAATATTGTGATGGATAGCCCCAGGGCTGAAATCTGTCAAAATCGGTTTATTTTTGACACGTTAACCAACTTGTAATTCAAAATGTCCTTTAAATTAAAAGCAAAAGGGTTTCATTTTTTTTAATGAAATAATTAAGTGTATGACGTGAAGAAGGCATCATTGCAATCTTTCCATGTTTATGCTTAATGTCATGCCACTGGATTTTACTTATTTCCATTTATGTGATTATTGATTGCTTTTACAGAGAATGCTTTATTATTAAATTATTTGTTTTAAACTGATGTCTGATTATTTTCATGAATGTGCAGGTTTTGAAAACCTCTGACATTGTCAGTTTTCCAGTAAAGAAAGTGATAATAAAATGACATTTAGTGTAGTTGTTTTTGGTGGTAAACTTGCGCCCTCGTGTGGGTCATAAATGAACTCGTGGTCAAAATAACGCATTGAAATTCTTTTTTTTTTGGGAAGAAAAAAAGGAAAAAATAAGACCAGCAACAGTAGCCTATTCTATCAAAAGTGTAAGATAATACATCTGAATAGCATGTTGGATACATAATGTCGAAATACTCAGTTTTACATTTATTTAATATGAACTGAATGGAAATCCCCCCCCCCCCCCAAAAAAAAATAAATAAATTTTAAATTCTAAAATATTTATAAACAGCAGCTAAAAATCATACTAAAAATATATTGAAATTTTTATGATTTGACAACATTTTTGTAGCACTCTGACTCTCGATTCAAACAAAACACTACAAATCTGCAGTGCACTTGTTTTAATACAAAATTTTCTAAAAAAAAAAAAAAAAATCTGCTCTTGTGTGGTTTTTCGAATACTTGCATCCATAAATAAAAAAAAGTGTCTTATTAAAACAGAAACCTAAACATCCGAGAGAGAGAGAGAGGGGGAGATTTAACATCCCTTTATTACCTACAAAATATTGAGCATAAACACCATCACATAAAAAAAACAATAGATGTACAAAATTTCAAATATACACACATTTAAATGAATTAATTAATTAATTAATTAATTATTATTATTATTATATAAATGATTAAATTAGCAATTTTGCTATAACACAAAAAATGTATCTGGTTTGTCCAATATGTTGTTTTGTCCATATCAATTAAACAAATAAATAAATAAACAAAATTGTTCAGCAAAATGCAATGTCATTTTCAACGCAGCACATTTCTTTCTATACTTCCTCTTCAAACTTTACAAGCAATTTTATATTTCCTATTAATATAAACCGATTTAAAGCCAACTATAAACACATCATTGTAAACATTTAATTAACATTATCAAAGAAAATCTCCAATAAAAGAAACAAAAGTAATCTCTCACATTGCATAAAATAATTAAATATGGATATTTATCTTGAGCCTTTGGATTCAACACTGAGATAAAAGTTCCAGAGAGAGAGAGAGAGAGAGAGAGAGAGAGAGAGAGAGAGAGAGAGAGAGAGTATGTGAATGTGTGAATGAGAGGCAGCAGCAGCGCTATGATGTTTCAGCGTGTTTTAAATCGTCTGTGTTTGTAACGACAGAACCATGTGAGGAACTGCACAAACTTCACCGCGGGAAACTTCACACACACACGAGGATATTCACTTCAGTTTGGAGGAGATTCTAAGACGACAGGTTTAACGTGCAAACAAACCCGCGGAACTTACATTTGTGTCGCCAGAACCAAAGGTTTAAACCTCTCAGAAACCAAGTTTTAAAGCGCTGCTGGATCCACATTACCGATACTCGACGCTCTCAACATTTTCAAGTGCATTCTGAAGTATGTTCAAGAATATTTTAAGTGTTTTGGGGGATATTTATTGCAACTTTCAAGTGGAGGAAAACCCGTAAAGCCAGCGACGGAGTGACACATTCATTTTATCATCACAGTCAAGTGCCTCAAAAAGGTAACAGACAAACACACATGCATATTGAAGTAACGTTAGACATATTGCAATCGCTTGAGCCAGCAGATGGTATCCTGTCATGCATAATTCAAATATAAAGGCTGCCATTCATATGCTCTTTTCTTGCGTCTGAAGATGTTGCATGTTTTTATTCTTCATGGTGGCTGTATTTGTGTTTAAAACGGACCGCACGTGAGCTTCAGTGTTTCTCATGAGAACAATGACCACACACACACTCTCTCTGACCACAGCAGAACATGCTGGATATCAGGCCAGTCCAACACTGACCCCTGATTCAGAGCGTTCATTAAACTGAATGAGAGATTGGTTAAAGCTTAAGAAATCTACTGCAGTATACACACGACGAAACTGCTTTTATTAGTATAATTAGTTGGCCTATAATGTATTTAAAGTTTAAAGGGGCATTTTGGATGTTCAAGTGGCTTTCCATAAAATTGGCACCTTGTTCAACTCAAATTTATTTACAGACATTTAGAAATAAAAAATGTTATATATAGAACTAACTTATGTTTTATATGTATATATTATTGTTGTAATGTCTAAAATATATTTACTTATGAATTAAACTCTTGATATATATATATATATATATATATATATATATATATATATATATATATATATATATATAATTTTGAGATTTGTTTACATTTAATTTAGAGATTTATGGGGGGTTTTCTGCTGGTGAATCCAGTGGAACCAAGTTTAATAATAATTAATATGTATTTTTTAAATACACTTTAAAAATTGCTGGGTTGTTTTAACCCAACTTTGGGTCAAATATGGACAAACCCAGCCATTGGGTTAATATTTTTAATTACATTTATAACCCAACATTTGGGTTTGTCCATATTTGACCCAAAGTTGGGTTAAAACAACCCAGCATTTTTAGAGTGTATATATATATATATATATATATATTAGTAAAAGTAAAACTAAGAGACATAAGGTATAAGAATATTATTGTAATATTTAATCATAACACATATTTTAGTATTAAAATATGAAAAAGTCGAAAAATACTTAAAAAGACACAAATCTCTGAATTCAAGTTACAATGTTGTGTTATTTTCATGCCTTGTTTTTATTTTAACCATACTTGAATCATTATGTGGAGCATATTGTGATGTTCAGTGAGATTTGGTTATGTCATTTTAGCATTTATTACAAATCATTGCCTCAAATGACCTATATTATTTGATTTCAGGGTGGCTTTCAAGCCTGTTTGAACTTTAATGGCTTGATACACTATCTTATCGGTTTGCTGTGGTTTCCTGCACCTGATCGGCCATTTGCATGTCAAAAGATAAGAGAGCTGTATTTCAGAGAAGAGAAAGCGTCCTGAGCTGTGTAAATATAAATGTCTTTACAGTTGTTTGCCAAACATATGCGTGCGGAAGCTTACTAAAGCTGTTTAACAAGTCTTGCTCGGATTAGTTTGTGGGATACTTCGGCCATTGGGTCATGTCTCCCATTGTCAAAACGAATAGCTTAACCTGGACTAGAGTGACTGGAGAGCATCAGTGTCAGTCTGCCTTCAGCGCTGAGATTTACGGACTTACCTTCCGCTCATGGTCTCAGACTCTCATGTGTTTATGCAGATATCATTGACCCACATTAGACAGTGTTTTGATGCACAGCTGCTGTAAGATCGAAGGTCGCAGGGAAAACAAATGGGTCATCAGGGTTATCGTGATACCTTTAAGCATTTTATTGTCCTCTTTTTATGTTAGTGTACCGGTATTATGTTCTTGAGATAACAACTGTTGTATTTGTTAAAGCAAGTAGAGTTATAGTTTTGTTTTGTTTTTCCCATTGGGCTTTTTAAAAAGTCTCTGTTAAAGGAGTAGTTCACTTTAAAAAAAAACAACTTTTGCTGATAATTTACTCACCCCCATGTCATCCAAGATGTCCACATCTTTCTTTCTTCAGTCGAAAAGAAATTAAGGTTTTTGATGAAAACATTCCAGGATTTTTCTCCATATAATGGACTTCAATGGGGTCCAAACGGTTCAAGGTCCAAATGAGAGTTTCAGTGCAGTTTTAAACGACACCAGACGATGAATAAGGGTCTTACCAAGCGAAACGATCGGTCATTTAAAAAAATAATATAACAAAGTTTAAGTTTTATAAGCTCAAATGCTCGCCTTACTCTGTTCTGTGATGCATTTTCATGACTCTCCTGTTAAAACTTGTTCATCAAAATGAACAAATCTTTTTCCGAATCAATTTGTTCGTTTCATTCGTTGAATGAACCAAATGACTCGTCATTTTGAGATGAACTAATCTTTTAATGGGACTTTTACTTCTGGAACCCGATTGTTTTGTTCTATTACTGTTCCTCATACTTAAGTTCATGGACCAGTATGCAACTCAGAATACCCTAGCAACGCCCTGGCAACAGTCTAGCAATGAAGAACCATGGCCAAACTCCACTTATAAATGGTTGCATCA